CCGAACTTAGCCCTTCCTTACTTATTTAATAGTGTTTTTATAAATTCACATTTATTTATTTTTAATAAAACGATACATACATATACATCACCACAAAGGAGCACTGCAAAAAAGGATACACATGACAACATAACCGACGAACCAAACGTCATGCTCATCATTGGGTCTGTTTTTCTATAGCCCCTTTTTCTTTTTTCCATTCTCATCGCGTGGCGATTTTTTTTCGAAACCATATTTTTTGATGTTTCCTCATGTGAAAACAACAAATTAGTGCTAAAAAAGGTTTGATTTAACATTGCGCCTTCTCTATTTATTAATATTCTCTACCGGAACATACCATTCAGCAATTTTTTCCCGCAATACATATTTTAATTATCTCAATATGTAAAATTTGCTATTAAAGTAAATAAATTGAGATCTGCTAAAACTAAAAAATTAAAGTAAACATTTGAGCCTTCGATATTTATTAACATTCTCTGCTCTGAATACGATCGCGACATTATTATAATTTCATTGCCTACATCTAGGCGCACATTTTTAGCAACGAGCCCTATGTTAACTAACAGTAGAAAACGTGATAAATGTCAATAAAAATATACGTTTTCGGTAAGTACGGAATTTTTACAGCTGTGCACAATAAAAGAGCAATGGTTAGTATTAAATAACCACTATATTTAATAATTTTAAGTAAAATAGTACACATAATAATAATCACGTTAAAATTATTATCCATTTGTATATCGACAGTAATTAATTTAATGCTTAAATTAATTTTTAAAGTTCGATTTCGGTAAAGGTAACGGTGTCTCAATAAACAAGCAAGGAAGGGCTAAGTTCGGGTGTCACCGAATATTTTATACTCTCGCATGACAAGTTTCATCAAGATATCTCAATTCTTACTCAAGTAACAGCTTGTACGGACGGATAGACAGACATCCGGATTTCAACTCTACTCGTCACCATGATCACTTTGGTATATGTAACCATATGTCTGACGATATATACCGTTATTAGCAACTTCATTGCGAGAGTATAAAAATGTTGCCCTCATGAAAATATCTAAGAGATTTATCGATATTTTCGGTGAAAAATTAGGTTAGGTTAGGTTAGGCACTGAGTTCTTCGACAATCACGACAATTTATCCACAAGGGATACCTCAGCTCAAATACCGTATTTGTGTAAAGTTTTATTCCGCTATCATCATTGGTTCCTAATGTATATATTATACAGAG